TACCATTAGGTTTAGTGAGGTGATTGTAAGCACGCCTTTCAATCACTGTCTTATCTGCTGCAAATTTTATTTGTTCGTAGCTGGTGTCCTATAATAGGATACGTAGTGTATTGGTGAATCTCTTGGCCTCTGTCTGAGTTTCAAACTGAAGGCGTATAGGACAGCAGTGGTTGTGCTGACTCTTTCTCAGTCTGTGACATTTTGTTTGGGAGTTAGGCATTTTTGCCGCCCTAAGTAAGATACTTTGAACCTTTTCCAACCCCTCATTATTTGGTATATTATAGACTATCACACTTAGTTTAGTATCAAGTCTTTTGATAACCTCTGTTGTGATGAAGTTTATCAAGGTGTCTACCTTAGTTACTGATTCTGTGTCACGTTCGCCAGGGTTTATGGTTCTGATCAGGATGCTCAGAGGTATAAGTTCACAGGCTTGAGATTTTACGTCACTAATGTGCGTTGATAGCTTAGATATAGTAGCCATATTTTCTGAACATCCTGCAGTCATCGCCCTACTATACCTAATTTCCCGCATCTCAGTCTTCAGCTCTTCTAAAGACGGCTTTAGTCGTTATATTTCTGAAGTAAGTGTTGAAGCTGCACTAGATATATCAGGTATTGTGACTCGTACATGGAGTATAGTGAAGAGGTCTATGTCAGGATCAGATGCTGGGTTTGTAGAAGCGATGCTACTGCTAGTTGTCAACATATTTTCGCCACCAGTTCCAGCCACAGTAGATGGTAGTGACACAGCAGCTCAACGACTGGGGCGAATTGGCAAGCTATGCGCATCAATTCCATATTTTGTGGGAGTCCTGTTGCTCGTTGTTGAATGTATATAAGTGCTATCAGTCCTCAGGTTAACAGGTGACTGAGTTCGTGGCTTTTTGTGTGATTAACCATAAAAAATTAGCCGAAGTTATTGGCTACAATTATGGAACTGAAGAAACACTTGTGCGAGTCTCACAGCAAAAATAGAAATGTATGGCGAATCAAGCTAAAATGTAGCGCAAACGTTGAACGTACTGGTTGCATGGTTAGGGGGAAGACAAAATCCAGCTGTTATTAGACGGCTTAAATGATGTTACACTTATGAGAAAACAAACCAAAAAACTGAGAGGATTATAAATATAAGAAGAACAATAACAATAAAGCTCGGCAGAATAAGGATGGAGAAAATGGTTGATGTAACGAACCTTACTTCGTCCCTGACACTATTTCCATCACATAAAATACGTGCCAAATATGGTATAGCGGAATTTTTATACTTAGACTTGAACGCATAAAGCCTTTTGAAATGACTTCCTGTCTCACCTGAGGAGACACGAGGTGAAAGCTGCGGGTAAAGTGTATGTTCACAGTCGGACAAAATTCCTTTAGCCAATTTTTTACATGAAATCAAGGGCCTATCAATGACTGTGTCGAAGATATTGCCCAAATGAATAATACTCACCCTACTGACAGTCTCCAGAGCTCTACGAAGTACGACATAGTCTTTTTAAGCAAACCAGGACAGAATGAGGGGAAACAGTAAATAAGAGCAGGTAAGATGCACAAGTTGACAAACTGTAAGAGGAGGGGGAGGTTATGCCTGAGTGCGTTAACGTCCGGAATGATTTCTTATATCACTGTCATAAATTTTGCGACGGCCGTGCCATCTGGTGCTGTTTGAATTTGGTTATATGCTTCAACCAAGTCTGTTTTCGAGAAAATAGTACCATCAGATAATGTCGCCATCAGCTCGTGTATGTGAGGCCGTGAACAGCAATCAGGGGTTGTTTTGGCGTTCATTCGCCGGCAATCACCAGTGGGTCGCTAATTGCTATCTTTTTTTCGGTACCATATGCAGTGGGGATGCACGTGGGCTATTCGATAGCCGAATGATGCCGAGGGTGAGCATATGGTTAAATTCATTTCTAACGAGTCATAGTTTTTCAGGAGCAGGTAGTTGCGATTTGGAGGTCACGGGCTGTCCTGAGGTTGTGACGTGACGCATAACATTGCTACTTGTACACAGTAGATCGTTAGACGGTCAGTTGGCTTTTGAGTACTTATCAACAATCGGCCGGAAAGCTGAACCAATTATCGCCTCCTTCTTAACCAGTGACGACCTGTGACCTACGTAGGTTATGCCTATAGTAGACAGCCTAGTGGTGGTATCGCCGATCAGTCGCCATCGGCGGACGTCTACGAGTAGATTACGATAGTTAAGTGGGTCCATAACAATGATGGGCATTGTGACGTCAGCGAGAAGGAGAATCCACTGAATAGGTTTGCGTAAATCCACATATTTCCCACCAAAGGATGCAACTGGTTTTCCATTTGCGGCCTATAAGTTGAAGGTAGGTTCCTTTTGTCGAACCGCCGCTGTAGCAGGAAGGACACTGATTTCGGCGCCTGTGTCGACTAGGTATCGGGTATGGCTGACCACATCACGAATGTGAAGTTGGCGGCTGGTGCCACCGGCGACGGTTGCCGCTAACGCGTGTCATAGTCTTGGAGTCACTGCCAAAATTACTGGGTTTTCGACAACATTTGGCTTCCTGCAATGATATCAAAACCAGTAAGGCTTCTTAGGTGAGCGCGATTTGGATTTCGATCGACTACGTGAGTTTCCACGCGAAGGGGAATACTGTCAACAACAGGAAGAAACCAGAGGGCCCCTGACCTTAGTGGTGGGCCAACAGAGTTGCGCAGCGCTGTAATTTCATCGCCGCTACTTGAAGACTGTTTACTGGTCGAGCAAATTTCAATGACTGGCTGCCTCGATATTTCCCGAATTCTATCAGCTGAATGTGCTAAATCGTTGATGATACCACCTTGGAGTGTCGCGAGCACAGTCTGCACTTGCCATGGCAACTCTTCAAAGAGTCCATCATCGAATAGAATGTGGCCGATAACTTTCCGCATTCGCGCAACCATATGAACGGCCGAATAATAATAATAATATATTCGCATTTTTGTTCATGAAGGACGCCAGTTTACAGGCATCATCAATATGATAAATTACATATACGTTTATTAAGCATATTTAATAATAATTTAGCAAAATACATATTTTTCCCTACTTGTGTAGGACATATATTTGATTTATGGTTAAATTACATGGTTGCTGTCGTTTTTGTCTTTGATTTGTAGGAAAAATGGAGCACATCAAGAAATGCAAGCTATCTTTACAGGCAAGATCAGTTGTGTTATAAATTACAATCGTGAAGTATTATAAATTAACACTTTTTCATTTGTATAAAGGTATATTCCACAACTGTAATCCAGGTTGCGTCGTGGGGGAAGGTAATGTGTAATTCCCGAGGGAATTATAAGATATGGGATGAATAATGTTTGCAGATCATTTGCAATTGTGAGTAGTCAAATATCTACATTCTTTATTCTCATTCAAAAAGTCATATGGAAGCTAAAATGGTGAGAGAAAAAAATAAGACAGAATGATCACCTAGCCCAACATTGAAAAACAGTTCATAAAGACGTTGCGGGTCAGGGTTATTGTTCCACCTAAAGACGGTTGCCTTAAGCATCTCATGGGGATTACTCACCTCCTGGATAGACATTTACGCAATAACGCATATACTTAATTCCTGCAGTCGGGCGTGGACAACTGCAAGGAAATGTAAACGACGGTCAGTGAACCGACGTTCATTGAAGTCAGCCTCAGCTGGCAGTAACTATGCTTCCGCATGGTCTGGTCGAAGTGGCTCGGGTGAATGGGGTTCTGTTGGGTCGGGTGCGGGTGATATTAGGACTGCAATCACTAATCGCAAAAGATATTTAAAATATAACTCAGGAACAAATTTAAAATGGAACAAACTTACCAGGTTTGGGTGCGTATTTTCTAAAGGTAATGTACGAGTTTAGAGGAAAAGGGTGTGTGCTGACGTTCAAAGATAGTGGCATATATACCAACGCAATACCTTATAACCACAACTCCTATAGTGCTTGTTCCAAGGAGACCAAAGGCAAATCAGGAAACCAAATTGACTGTCCAAGGTACTAAATATACCTCTTGGCCAAAATCGCAGTGCGAAGATGATTGTTTAACTAGATAGAGACTGTGTGCGAACGACCAAAAGTAACACAGAAGTGTGCCAAATGACATGTGTGCTTGACTGTGAGCCTTCAGCCAGCATCCAGTGTTGAGTGGCGAATGCTGTGGCTACTCATTTTGTGGAATTATCTACCGTCTCAGGGTGGTCAGTATTCACTCAGCAGATACCCACAGAAAATCAACCTTCCTTTTGTCTGGTGCACATAGGAAGTCGGCATATGAGAATGCGATTTTCATTGTGGACAAATAAATTCCTAGATTTTTTATATTCCTCAATTTCTTTTAATTTTAGAAAAATTTTAATTACAGGTTGTTTCCATAGTATTTTGGTACGAGTACGAGATTTTCAGCATGTTATATCGGTAGCCCAAGTTCAGCAGGCCAACCATTGATAGCAGGCGAGCGTCGGCTGGGAATCGAATCTCGGAGAGTGTGCATGGTCGGCGAGCGTCCTAACCACTGTGTACCGACGAACATGCTCAAAATTCTCTGGATAGAGCTTAATACATTCCAATAGAATGTATGTCAAAGTTGGGCTTAGAAGTGATTTTGCTTGCTGCAATAGTTCGACGTTTGAACAGTCAGAACTGGACAAATTAGTTATCCAACAGGAAGGAACTATCAGTTGCTCTGGAAATACAAAACTAAGTTCTAAACTCAACAGCTACTCCAATCCTTCCTTAACCTTACCCAAATCTTTCCTGAAAACTATTAGCCTACCCTAACTTAGCCATCAACTGGCCAGATAAGCTGTTTAACGTTTTCACACCTATTTCATCATTTTTCTAGAAATTTAATGTTAGATACCTGATTTCAAGCTCATCAAAAAATTTAAAATAATTTTGATATAAACCAACTACAGAAAAGTTTGTCAAAGACCAGGAGTCTTTACTCCACAGCAAAGAAGTGAGCAAAAAGAAATCAAACTGGATTGCAACAGCTCATGGGAAACGTTATTGGATATTGAAGGTCAAACAGGAGGAAAATCAGTTTTTACGTTACATGATTTTGTACAGAAGTTTAATACATACCAGGAGAGGTTTGCAATTTGCAAGTAAATTTCTGCATATACAGTCTGCTCCACTACAAGGAAGCTTTAATCGGCAACCGAATAACTCATGGACATACAGAATTATAAACAAACTGTCTCAGAAGGACAAAATGCTCCTGTACCAAGAATTATCTAAAACTGTTAGTGGAAAGCTAGACTGTTCAATTAGCAAATCAGAAACAGAAGAGTCTCCTGTGACATATAGTCAACTGAAGCTCGGTAAGTATATCAGAAATTCTCTGAGCCTCACCCAAGTTGTTGTAGGAAGCTGCCTTCCATTTATAGGCTTTGGTTTCTTGGACAACGCGATTATGATAATAGCTGTAAGCAAATATAGGTTCTTATAAAGTTAATTGATTTCATGCAGGGTGAATATATCGATTTGACATTCTCAGCAATGTTGGGTATTTCGACCATGGCCGGTATGTAAAATTGTCATCAGAATGTTTTTTTGTAGCGGCGGGTCTTGGGAACTTGGTTTCTGACCTTTTTGGAATTGGGTAGGTTTCTGTTCATCAAACATAATTCCTAACATCTTCAGTTATTTTTGCTCCTTAATCTTGAATTTATTGGTTTAGATCTACTAGTATTCTGCATTACGTATATAGAGATAAGCTATAGCTACTTTTTTGATCGTTCATTTAACTTAAGTGAAGCAGCGCATGAGAGTTTATTTTCAATTGGTTACACTGAGTTGTAGCACGATTTTTTCGACATCAGATCTCAGTCTTTATAAACAGTTGCACAGATTCTGGCAGTCAGCGGACTTGTTTTATGTATTCAACGTAGGGCATTTGCATATACGTGTTTCTCCGATGACTTTGAATTTCCTGACTAAGCAGGTCTCAAATTCACCGTTTTCCACACAGGTACGTGATGTTATTTATGTAATCTCTCAGTGTTGAACAAAGCATATCTTAATCAGATTGTCAAATTTAAATCTAGTGAAAGTCAGTTATCAAAGTTAACTACTTGTATCACAAAAACAAATGTGATTTAAATGTTTATGCAAAGGGGTTAATAACACGAGAAATGTGTAGTATAGATTAGAAGTGGTGTGAAAGTGGATTATGAATACAAGTCAACGGTGGGACTTCATGTCGTATGCCGTAACAAAAAAATTCTACTCACATTCATGACATTTGGGCAAAGCTACAGCTATTGGAGGTCCATGAACAAAAAAAACGGCCGAGGTACTTTACAGCTTTTGGCATTGTTTTCTTGGTCCTACTTTTACTTTCCACTGCTTTCACACTTATTTAGACGTGTTAAAACAACTGTGAAGGTATTTACCGGAAAATGTAAACATTTTTCTTACTTTCTTATCACAGGCTTGTTGGCTACGTCGAAAAGTTTATAGAGAAGATTGGTATTACTGTCCCTCCCCTGTCTGCTACTCAACTTGCTTCTAACTCAGTTCGTTGGGCGGTAGCAATAGTAAGTATGCTGTTTTGATATGATTAAAGTTATTCATAGTCGTTTGATTACACCCACGAGTTCGTTTTTATTTAGAGTTTCATTTGAAAAGACACAAAACATTCACTACTTTAAAACACAGTCCCTTTAGTATATTTTGATAGTGCTATTAGGACATGGAGTTTATGTAATGTATTTGCTCAATAAATTTCCAACAATTTGATCACTTTCTTTTCACATCAGTTTTTGTTAGAAATGAAGCTGAACAAGTGATTTTATCGCATCTCATACTGTGTATGACTATGCATATATACATGCTTACTGACGAGTAATCCAGCCTTGCGCGTGAGAGTGGGGGGACATATACCCAAATGGCTTGGGTATATGTTGAACTGTGAAACGACGAACGCAGATGGCAGTATACCAACCTCATCTTTATTAAAACACCTAATTGATACGGTTCACGAGACTTATATCAAAACAAATTTCAAAAGATAACCAGAACTCTATCGCTTGGAATAGATTTCGCATGTAACAGGATATGAACGTGAGTGCTCATGATATTATGCAGATGTCCAGCCAGGAGTAGACAGAGTGGGACTGGAATCAGAGGCCAGCTGACAAAATCTCGGGCACTTAAGCCAATAAGGCCTACAGTTTAGACAGATCTGCATAGAATTCTGTTTACATAACGGTAGAAAATTTGCCGACTAATTTAGGACGGGGCACTTGTCTTGTTAGCGATAATACTTATTGGAGTTGGAATACTTCTCGGATGTCTCAACCAAAATGGACACCTTTTCGAAATGGAGTCCAATGCATAAGGCAGTAATGTCAACTGCTGCATTCGTATAGTCACTAATGACCGAAACACACTCATACACCATTCAATCCTTTCAAATTCGTGAGCTTATATGCACCCTTGCTTTGCGCTTACTATTTTGTTGTTGTTCTTGATGAACGGTTTGTATCTACTAGTATGATGGTAAACATATAACATTGGAACTGTTCCTCTAACTTTTGCAAAATACTCTGCTAAGAAAAGTCAGTGAACATAACTTAGCAAAGATAGACTAAACATCGATATAGGTGTAAAGATTCTTTTCAACTAATTTATTATTAAGACAGCGGACGCCTTGGCCGTTAATGAATTTAAGCCAGACCTTTGTGCACCAGAGAAATACGTATGGTCCCTATTTCTACATTAGACGTAGGCGGATAAACAATTATTGATTAACTTTCCATTTTGCTTCTTTAGTTAATCTACGTACCTTTCTCTCATTACTATGATTACGATTATTGTTGATGTTAGATGGTTGAAGGCAGTCGACATGAAGCCTTGGGCCTAGGTTTCGTGCTAGTTGGCACTCGTCAGCGAGGCGTATCCATAACCTTGAAGGAACTCATGTCCCTACTGAAATTTGAACCCACGTCACCCAGTCCTACAGGGGGACGATCGCGCACTCGAATAGCTCAGTGGTAATATCGCTGACTGCAGCACTGAGTGACACGGGTTCAAATCTCAGAAGGGACATGAGTTCCTTCAAGGTTATGGATACGCCTCGCTGACGAGTGCCAACTAGCACGAAACCTAGGCCCAAGGCTTCATGTCGACTGCCTTCAACCATCTAACATCAACAATAATCGTAATCATAGTAATGAGAGAAAGGTACGTAGATTAACTAAAGAAGCAAAATGGAAAGTTAATCAATAATTGTTTATCCGCCTACGTCTAATGTAGAAATAGGGACCATACGTATTTCTCTGGTGCACAAAGGTCTGGCTTAAATTCATTAACGGCCAAGGCATCCGCTGTCTTTCGAAGTTAAGAACGAATGAATTTGATAGATAATTTTATAATCATGGTCAGGGTTGGTAGAGCGACAGAAACCGACCAAGTGTTCTGGAATAGAGCTTCTTAATCTTTTCTTTCCCTGTCGTAAAGCCATACTGGAATATATTTTCGTATCCCTGTGGAAAGCATTCTCTGACTACAGCCAATATACCTTACTTCATATGAGCAGATAAACCGATAGATCATGCACTTGGCTACCAGACAAGGGAGCTTATCTATCACAGAGACAAAGAACAACTTCCGGCTGATGAAGGTTGATCTAAATTTAGCTGATTTATTTGGAAAGACAATTTTTTAGCATATCTGGGACGAATGCTACTATGAGTGTTCTTTGTTAGGACTGTTATATTCCTTCTGCCATTCTTTTCTATGTGTATTTTTTTAGCGTGGTGCACTTCTTGTTGTTCATGGTACTTCAAGTTATCTTTCTAGGCACAAAATTTTTTTTTTGCATACTATTAAAACTAGAGTATTTGAAATTTTGGTAAAGTAAACAATTTTGTATTTGAAGCGTATCTAAAATACCACCGTAGAATAATTTTACTTGTTAAAAACACAGTGATACAATATTAATTACTGATGGCGCCCCAACCACGCTTTATAACTTAAAATAAACCAAAATACCGGTCAGCAAAATATTCTTTTTGTACCTTCTCATCAAAGCTGTACAGTTAAGTAGTGTTCCTGGTAGGTCATGGGAAATGTCAATAAAGGTCAACAATTAATACCAAAGGTGACACAACAGCTGAAATTCTTCAAGGCAGATTATCGAGAAAAGTTCACAAAACATTCTTCTCCGCATCTCTACGCTTCACTTTCTCCACGTAACCTTTCATTCACCAAAATGTTAAAGACAATGTTACATTAATGTAAGAGTAGAACTTGGACACCGTAGTAGAGTACAATTCCATTATGGAGAAAATTCATTTGATAAAGTCTCACAGTGTTATACAGTAATATTTGCTGATGACGTTTGAAGCATAATTTATTGCCCATAATCATATCAAGGTTAGATTATGAGCAATAAATTATGCTCGAGACGTCATCAGTAAATATTACTGTATAATACTGTGCGACTTTATCAAATAAATCTCCATATTGGAACAGTTTTCCATTGTTGACAACATCCATATGCATATATCAATTCAATCACTCCTGTAGAACTAACTACGTAGTCCACACCAGTAGGGTATTGCCTGCAGACGCATAAGAAAAGTCGTCCAGGATAGTTATTAAAAGGAGAAATTTGACCAACCGGTTGCTCAATTCTTGAGCATCTTGTTCTTATGCATTTTTCTGCATCAGTAAAAAAACTTTCAAAGTGATATATTAAGTAAGGCCAAGTCGTCCAAAGAGTTTACAGCTATATCTGTCAACGGTGGAAGATTCTACTATGCTAGAGAGAAACCCTGAAGTGTGTATACAAAAGTCGTTTATTTAGTCCCTTTACTACAGTGACCATATACCCTTTTTGATTTGTACAGTAATGGAGTTTGTAATCCATCTCATTTCCTTTCAAAGTTTTAGCTCTAAAATATATATTCGTACATATTCTGTATTTCTAACTCTTATGCGCAATATTCCTGTTCCAAAGAGTTAACAGCTTTAATGGTAGCCATTTTTGAATACTATTCACCTTTATTTTTTTAGATTACGTAAGACTACATGACTAGGTTCCCTGATATGCGATTTCATATGCTTTGTTACCAACTGGCATTAATAACTGACCTTTATTAGCGTTGTCCATGATCATTCAGAAACGCTTTATGTGTACACCTTTGATGCGAAGTTACGAAAAGGATATTCTTTCCTGACTTAGATCTTTTTAACACATATCACATGGGTATTTTTCATAATCTGAACCTCGATTTGTGTGAAACGTGTATATTATTTCCTGACATATGAAATTCTACTCTTTACCTTCACACTTTAGGGGCGAATAGTCGGCATTACTATAGGATGTCTATTGGGCCTATTGCCTCTTTTTTGGTTTAACCGATCAGAAGATGAAAAATAAGGTAACTCCGTGAAATATCACCATTTTTCTGGGTCAACTATTAGATAAATGTATTGAAGAGTTTATATTACAGTTTACCCCATAGATATTGATTTTCTATCGACCATTTTAAATCCGAAGTAATGGCGATATGATTGATATTTTCTTACCAGTTAACATTGTTTTACTTTTATACGTGCTTTCGGTTTCTTAAAGTTGAAAATAGCATTTCTGAATGAAAATAATTTTTCACACAAATTTGTTCAATCATTGTTTCCTTTATGTGAATTTGCTAGGATTGTTTTTGTTCCGAAAATTAATATCTTATTTTATCAAGCACAGGCTGTATTCACTTCTGAATAATATTTTATGATACAATTTTGTTTTTATTCTCTTGTAAGGATTATATTTCTGAAAAATCTATATGGCTTTATGACCGCTGGACTGTTACATACACTATTTATTACCTTACTTTGAGTTTTTTTTACATAATTTGATTTATCTTAAGTATATTTATCTGAGTTTAACCTTCCGTAGTGAAGTAAAGATTTTTTCCATATACCTACAAACAAACTATCCCTTTCTTTTCTATAAGATCAGTCCATTTCTTGTCAAAAATTTAAAAAAAATGGTTACATGTCATTATTGCTCGACATCATGAACATTGTTTGGGAACTAATTGATATGATTCGTAACATATATTTGTGTTTTCCAGTTTATTTCCTTCGGATCTTGATTTTAACTGAATGATGGCGATTTTGTCTTTGTTCGATTTTAATCACACTTTTTTTATTCCTTAAACTGTGGCATTTTTACAATGATTTGTACCTGCATGTTTTTTTAAAATTTCATTCTTGCTAAAATCATGAGCAAATTTTATATTTACAAAACTTTCGATTTTACAACTTATATAGTTATACTCAAATTTAATACTGTTAAAAAAATCCATCGTTCTAATAATTCATATTGTCTTTGAATCATATTACGATGTAAAGTGCACTTATATCTTTAACTGATTGTTTTGATTTTTTCCTGAAAATACTATCGGCTTGAGTCAGCACATTACACAGAAAAAAATCAGTTAAAATATATTGGAGTGCGTACGTAAGCATGAGGGATAATCAGACACAAACATTCAAACAAACACAGTCCATTTGGCAGAAATATAAGAAGTGAATTGAAATGCAACATATTTTGGATTCCGGGCCATATTATGATAGCCAAATCACTTAAAAGTACTTTTGATTAAAGTTTTACTTGTGCCATAGGTCATACAATATGAAGGTTATCTTTTTGCACATTATGTAAAAGAAACGCTAGTATGTGTTGGTTGTCATCCATCTGCGTAGCTTGTATACACGTTTACACACACTAGTCACTTTAATCGGAACAGATCTTGCGTGGAATATGGCGTGTCCAAACTAGCAAATTCTCACATATGCTTGCTGCACATAACTAACACCAGTGCCTCTTATAGAAATGACAGGAAAATATGCCTTAGAATTATAAGAATAAACGTTTACGAATATTTACTGCGAAAACGAACTAGATGTTCTCTATTTGTAATCGTTTTAGTCTGGGATCTTTCCAATATCCAGGAACTGTATCTAGGATAACTTAGATATCTGGCATTCGATTATCCAGACAAATTCATAAGCTTAGTTCTCATAAGGTGAGGATGTACATTAGTGTAGGTCCCAAGTGTATTACAGCTGATACAAAGTTTTATTCTTCAAGGTAAGAAAATGTTTAGTTGAACATGTGACTTTCTTAGTGATGATTCCACGATACATTATCATCCATGAGACAATTTTAGGATTATCATGAAGTAAACGTGAGTCGGAACTCACGTATTTTTTGGCACTTGTAGTAAAACAGATGAAAAATTTACCTTCCTGATGTTCTTGCACACATTGTTACCAGGCGGAATGCTGGAAAAGAATACTATTTGAGTTTATTTCGTATAAGAAACGAGTTAATATGCCTTGTTATTAGGCTCTTGTGGCAGACGTATTTACCAACACAAAGCTAAAGTATCCGTTATCATAGTCAGACAGTTATATAGTAGGATTGAATGTATTATTAACACTAGTTCCTATTAAGTTACCAATGTTCTGAAGTATTGTTTTTAATTGAAAGTTCAATTGCATTGTTTTTTCGTTAAGGTGATCAAATAAATATTTAACCTCATGCGACTTTAAGAATTTTCGAAAAGTCCACTTTGCTGACCTGCCTTTCGACTTCATAATTTAAAGGAATGCAATATATTCTCAAATATAACAATTTCGGTGAAGTATCTCGAAGCACCATCGACTAGCGCTAAGTTCCGTCACTGAATATTTGTTAAGACTTGCCGCAATGCAGGAGTTAAATTCGACAATCTGGCTAGTTAAAAGGGGCTTTTTTCCCATCCACTTAAGTCAACTTTCCTCGGCTGCTGTCTATCATTTAAAAATTTGACAGGAAGACATTATTGACTTTTGCTTAATCAGTACATTGTAGAAATTAAAGATATAACTTACAATACAGATTTGATTTTTTTCAAGCGAAGACAAAAGTAGTTGAGCAGTCCACTTAAACTACATAGAAAGTATTGAATAATTCTATAAGCGAAAGCGAATTCACAAAAGCAGTTGGAAAGACAATGCTGTGCAAACAGAAAAACTGTTAACATTGGTTCCCCTAAAAATTAAGAAAGCCTCATTAATCAGTGCTGAGAATTGCTACATCAGCAGTTTTGGGTCTTTATGGCTTGTCGAAGATATACAGAAAAGAGTTATCCATACAACGAGATCACCTACTTGCATAAAAGGTTTTGAACCTTTTAAAAATATATTGGTTAAACATTCCGTTGGACTCAATAAGTGGAACGAACTCACATAGAATGATAAGGACATCAGTCTCATTGTTCATGAATGGTCTGACAGAAACAGTATCTTTGTAGCGTCAACTCAGGTAGCCCAAATGCTGGTACATCTACTAAGTATAATTCCAGCTAATATTACGAGACGTCCAGTTCAAATTTAATAACCAAACATATCGAATCAGGACCAAAGTTTGTCGGTCAGAAAATAATGATAGTTTCGAATTAGATGCATTGACAAGGACAGTGGCATGACGCAAATATCACAGGAAGACTCTGACGACCGACAAAGCGCTTCAATAAGACTTTGAAAACTGTCTTACCAGAAACTCTTTTAGAGAGGGAGATATCAGAACGGCATGATTAGGATGAGGTGTGGATTTCAGGAAGATTTTCTTGCGTGATTTTATTTATCTCAGAAGCACTTGATAACAAAGACTCACATACTCCTCATATGGAGCCCAATCCCCCCCCCCTGTATTGCTATTCTACTAGTCGTTCGAAAATAGCAGTCCACTGATTAGTGTACTACTTTTTTCTACAGTTAAAATCATTTATTTCATTTTGGTGAGTGGTTAAGGAACATTTATATACACATGAATCGTTACTTAGTTTTCCATAGTACAATTGGGGGTTAGAAATAAAAAAATTACAAAATATACAGGATGTTTGGATAAAAAACTACTGTGATGAATAATTGTTTATGCAATCAGGGATTAAATATGTAGAAATAGTAAAATGACAAAATAAACAGGAAGTGTGGATATGAAAATATAGTAGTGTAGACAGGGATTAAGAGAACTTAAAATAACATAAATAAACAGGAAGTTTAGATAAGAAAAGCGATGGGATGGTCATTATTAAAAATTTACCTGTTTACGATGGCCATGGCAGGGACAGCGGTTGGACGTATTTCTTTTGGATACAAAGAGTGGGTTTGAGATTTTGGATAGCTAACGCCTCAGCTATGCCCAAATGTCTTGATTTCACTCCCTTTGATAGGTTTGATTGAATCTTTTATATTACTTTGAAGGACTTTTCGAAAGGCGCTGAATGTCCTGCGTTGACCAGATGTTCTGTCACTGAACTGTATACACGTTTTTGCTCTCCTTTTACTAGCCAGGCTGGGTAGTGTTCACGAGCGCGTTTTCCAAGTTCATTCAGCGCCTTTCGAAAAGTCCTTCAAAGTAATATTGTATACAGTTCAGTGACAGAACATCTGGTCAACGCAGGACATTCAGCGCCTTTCGAAAAGTCCTTCAAAGTAATATAAAAGATTCAATCAAACCTATCAAAGGGAGTGAAATCAAGACATTTGGGCATAGCTGAGGCGTTAGCTATCCAAAATCTCAAACCCACTCTTTGTATCCAAAAGAAATACGTCCAACCGCTGTCCCTGCCATGGCCATCGTAAACAGGTAAATTTTTAATAATGACCATCCCATCGCTTTTCTTATCTAAACTTCCTGTTTATTTATGTTATTTTAAGTTCTCTTAATCCCTGTCTACACTACTATATTTTCATATCCACACTTCCTGTTTATTTTGTCATTTTACTATTTCTACATATTTAATCCCTGATTGCATAAACAATTATTCATCACAGTAGTTTTTTATCCAAACATCCTGTATATTTTGTTATTTTTACATTTCTAACCCCCAATTGCACAATGTCCATCTTCTTAGTTATTATGCTACTTTGTTTGAGTTTTTCCATAGTACTATGTTTTCTGCCAAGCAGCTATGTATCCTGTCATTTCTAAGGTTGAGAGAAGACAATACCGACCAGTTCAGTTATTGAGTACACTTTTTCCTGACAGTGCAGCACCAATGATACATAATGTACGATTATACAGCTCAGGGGGATTTTTCCACATTTTGACCGTCGAAACCTTTGATATGCAGTAATAGAATAGTAGAATTTATGTACAAGTGTTTTATTTAGTCTACCTTACTATCGTAGCCTTAACCTAACAGTCTTTCACTTGTAGAATAATAATTTTGTGTTCTCTTATTTCCGATTTCTTCGTTAAACACTTAAAAAAATTCAGATTTCTCCCTATGGTGCACAATATTCTTTCCACGTACGTAGTATCAAGTAAAAATTTTTGAACGCTGTTCACTACTTTCAAAAACACGATAAATAATTGCTATCTATAAGACACGAGTATCTTTTCATACTTCTAGTGAATATTCTGATCGACAGTACATGTTTAGCTTAGATTATGCAAATGTAAAATGTACCCGCTGTATCTTTCTTGTTTTTGCCAATTCCTTATGGAAGGAATATATATCTACAGTTAAAATCATGACGGGAAAATAGTTTCTTGAATGTCAAATCTCAGTTTTATTCAAAGAAATGGTAAATGCTTTAAAATGTGAAGGTAAATAAGCAAGGTAACTGGTAAATTGATTAAGGCACAATTCAAAGTTACAAATAAATATGTGTGGATCGACCTTCAGGTACGGCTATTTATTCATAATACTTTCCAGCTGTAAATATTTTGAAGGTAACCAAGCCATCAACCATGTACACTGCCAGTGCCATAAAGATAAAGATCTAAAAAAGAGGAAGTTTAGTTCGGTTTTAGAAATGTCTAAGAAAACTTGCTATAGTACAATTTGAGCATAAGATTTTTTTCCCTGCAATTTTGTTAGGAATCTGCTTGATAATAAAATCTCAGGCCACCGAATCAAATGAATACACTCAATTTTCTGTCAGCCTGTCTTATCACAGAACCGGGTTGTCTATTCTTTGTTCAATTTTCGAATATATATCGAGCTATTAGCTGTAACAGCAGGGGATTTTGAAGAGCTGAGCTTTATTACTTTGGTTGTGTATATATCTTGATGGATTACCAAACCTTTCAAGCAAGCTGCTTTATTTATTTTTGGAGTAAAATGATTAGAAATGTGGCTTTAGGATACTGTAATAGTGATTACTTGATGTACTACATTTATGTAGCCACTTGCTTCAGAAATGGATCCAAATAACACATATTTTGCATTTCTAAAATGCAGTATTGTAAGTCTTATCATGATTCCCGTATGAATGTGTAAGCCGGTGCTAAAGATTTCAAAAGGATAGGTAGGAATCTCAACAGAATTTTCCAGTCTTTCTGTAAAGGAAAATTAAAATATGTGGATACAGCGATCTTGATATCAGTTAAGACAGTTAGAAAGCTCTTTATCCCACCTTATGGAATTTTGCTTTTCATGGGGCGATTTACTTATTGAATAACAACTTTGACACATATTTTTCGTATGTTTGTCACTAAGACTTTTTTCAACTCACGATAAATTGGTATCATAAGAGTATACTGCTTCTGGAAACACAAACTTACCGTCTCAGCAATGATCAATCCCCCCAAGTGGGAATACGCAGCGGATAATACTCCGTTTGAAAACACAAGTACGCACATCACAACATAGGCAGCTAGTTCCTGAAGCGA